AGTTCCTGTGTTAGGCTGATGCTTTTGGCTCAGGATCACACTTTGAGCATGGCTTCTGTAGGCCAAGCTATTTGCATATTTTCTGCGCAGATTGTAGTGTTGAGTGAATATGATGCACTAATAATGCAACACCAGGACAAAACAAAACAAAATTCAGCTTGTTTTGCTGCACTTTTATTCTAAATAACATCTACTCTCTCTTTTGATGACAAGATTTGTCTTCTTTCCCCAAGAGAGATTTAAGAGGCATAACAATTAAATGTAATTTTTGGACTTGTTCGGATGATGAACTGAACAAATTGACAATATATCCCCATCCTTGATATAATCAGGAAATTTTAAGTATGGACTGAGTATTTATTAGGAATCTTTTTAATTTTTTAGGTATAATAATAGTATTGTGGTTGTATTTTTAAAATGTTCTTATACAGATGCATACTCTGTATGCATATTCTCTGCTCCAACTAGGAAAAAAATGGAGGTGACAGATGAAACAAGGGTAGCAAAAATTAGGATAAATGTTGAAACTGAGTGATGTGTAAATGGGGACTCATTAAATTCTGTTCTTTTTGTAAAATTGCAACCCCATGGACTGCAGCCCACCAGGTTCCTCCATCCGTGGGATTTTCCAGGAAGGAATACTGGAGTGGGTTGCCATTTCCTTCTCCAGAAAATCTCCTGGACCCAGGGATTGAGCCTGGGTCTCCTGCACGGCAGGCAGACTCTTTACCCACTGAGCTACCAGGGAAGCCCATGTAATATATTCCTATATGCAGATTGCTAAGTGGAAGAAGCTGTTCTGAAAAGACAACTTTATGATTCTAATTCTGTGATGTTTGGTAAAAGACAGAACAATAGATACAGTAAATTCAGTGGTTGCTGGGAGTTGAGGGGAAGTTGGGAGGGATGAATATATAAAGCACAGGGGATTTTTATAGCTATGAATCTATTCTCTGTGATACTGTCATATATTTGTCAAAACCCGTAGAACTATACAGCACAAAGAGTGAACCTTAATGTACACAAACTAAAATAACAATTTATCAGATTGAGGGATCTCAGAAAATAATACAGAGTGCAATCAGAGAATCTGTGTTATGAATTATGACACAACCTCATGGGAGGAAATGGGGGAAAGGCGCTGACTGTGGAAATGAGTGAGATTATAAGAATAAAGACAAAATGAACTACAAATACGCACTTTAGATGATAAAGTTGTTCCCACAGGAGTACAGGTTAACATTTCCAATACCACTATATAATATATGTACTGGAATTGAGCTATTAAGTAAATGGGTGCTGAATGGTAGGAGCCAGGAGTGTCACTGTTGAAGCAGGAATTTCCAGATGAGCAAAAGAAGATTAGAATGATTCATGATCCACGTTGGTAGTGGATTACAGTGGAGATGTCAGTAAGAACTCATGTTTAATTTAATATAGATACAGATGGTGTATACAGATACAGATTAGTATATACATGTACTTCTTTGTTTTGTTAGCTGAGAGAGCCTAAAGCAATGACATCCCAGTAACAGAACACCTAGTGGCCAGATCTTGATTCTAATACAATTCTCTAATAAAATGAATCAAGGCTCCTTGGGTAAATGACTGAATCTAGGACTGGGGCAAGATACATGGAGTCCCTAGTAATGCCAGAAAGTAAGGTATGCCCCAAATCCCCACAACTATGGGAGCATGTCAGAGAGACACAGGAAACCAACTGAAAGAGCTCCCATTAGCCAGAGAGGGAACAATCTGAGCATATGTATATATATATATATATGTATGTATGTATATGTGTATGTATGTGTATATAGTATACATATGTATATGTATATATACATATTTGTGTATGTATATGTATGTATATATGTGTGTATATATATAATTTTATCCAATTTTTCTCTATTTCTTTGCATTGTTCACTTACGAAGGCTTTCTCATCTCTCCTGTTCTTGGGAACTCTGCATTCAGTTGGGTATATCTTTCCCTTTCTCCTTTGCCTTTCTTAATGACCTGGATAACCACAATGGTGTGGTCACTCACTTAGAACCAGACATCCTGGAGTGTGAAGTCAAGTGGGCCTTAGGAACCATCACTATGGACAAAGCTAGTGGAGGTGATGGAATTCCAGCTGAGCTATTTCAAGTTCTAAAAGATAATGCTGTTAAAGTGCTGCACTCAATATGTCAGCAAACTTAGAAAACTCAGCAGTGGCCCCAGAACTGGAAGAGGTCAGTTTTCATTCCAATCCCAAAGAAGGGCAATACCAAAGAATGTTTAAACTACTGTACACTTGTGTTTGTCTCACATGCTGGCAAGATAATGCTCAAAATTCTTCAAGCTAGGCTTCAGAAATACATAAACCAAGAACTTCCAGATGTACAATCTGGATTTAGAAAAGGCAGAGGAATCAGAGATCGAATTGCCAACATCTGTTGGATCATAGAAAAAGCAAGAGAATTTCAGAAAAACATCTAATTCTGCTTTATTCAGTTTGTTGTGACTGTGTAGATCACAATAAACTGTGGAAAATTCTTAAAGAGATGGGAATACCAGACCACCTGACCTGCCTCCTGAGAAGCCTGTATGCAGGTCAAGAAGCAAAAGTTAGAACCGGACATGGAACAATGGACTGGTTCAGAATTGGGAAGGGAGTATGTCAAGGCTGCATATTGTCACTGTGCTTATTAACCTATATGCAGAATACATCATGTGGAATGGTGGGCTGGATGAATCACAGGCTGGAATCAAGACTGTCAGGAGAAATATCAACAACCTCAGATATGAAGATGATACCACTTTAATGGCAGAAAGCAAAGAGGAACTAAAGAGCCTCTTGATGAGGGTGTAAGAGGAGAGTGAAAAAGCTGGCTTAAAATTCAACATTCAAAAACCTAAAATTATGGCATCTGGTCCCACCACTTCATGGCAAATAGATGAGGGAAAAGTGGAAATAGTGACAGACTTTGTATTCTTGGGCTCCAAAATCACTGTGGACAGTGAATGCAGCCATTAAATTAAAAGACACTTGCTCCTTGGAAGAAAAGCTATGACAAACCTAAACAGTGTATATAAAAAGCAGAGGCATCACCTTGCTGACAAAGGCCCATATAGGCAAAGCTCTGGTTTTTCCAATAGTCATGTATGAATTTGAGAATTGGACTGTAAAGAAGACTGAGTGCCAAAGAATTGATGTTTTCAAACTGCGGAGTTGGAGCAGACTGTTAAGAGTTCCCTGGACTACAAGGAGATCAAACCAGTCAATTCTAAAGGAAATCAACTCTGAAGATTCATTGGAAGGACTGATGCTGAAGCTCTAGTACTTTGGCCACCTGATGTGAAGAGCCCATTCATTGGAAAAGACCCCAATGCTGGGGAAGATTGATAGCAGGAGGAGCAGGGGGTGACTGAGTACGAGATGGTTAGATGGCATCACCACCTTAATGGACATAAGTTTGAGCAAACTCCAGGAGATAGTGAAGGACAAAGAAGCATGGCATGCTGCAATCCATGGGGTTCCTAAGAGTTGGACATGACTTAGAGACTGAACAACAATGAACAACAATATATATACAATTATACCTCAAAGTACAAAGGTATATGAATACATATTTATATAAATAGATTATTGAATAAGTTAATAAATGGGGAATAAAAGACAAATCTTCAGTGCTGAAGAATTCCAAAAATCTTAGTAGATACTCCACACTAAAGGAGAGGGAGTATAACTTCCCACTTTCTATGAGTACAGTATGGACAGCAGGGAAAACAGTAATTACAGTGGAGAACCCTGACAAACACTACTTCAGCCAAGTAATCAGTCAAGTTCAACAGGCAGTCATAAATTGTGTTGATAGTTTGCATCCTTCTGTGATCTTCTCCCTCCACCCATAAGGCCTTGAGAATAATCTCATAATCATGAGAAAAACAATTAAGTTCCAGTAGAGAGGCATCGTACAACATACCTGACCAATACTCCTCAAAACTCTCAAGATCATCAAAAACAAGCATTGTTTCTGAGAAACTGTCACAACCAAGAGGAGCCTGAGATACTAATGCAGTGTGGTATCTTGGATAGGGTTCTAGAACAGAAAAATGACATTAGATAAATACTAAGATAGAATGAACTATGGACTTTAGTTAATATATCAATATTGGTTCAGTATTTGTAACAAATATTCCAATGAATGTAAGATGTTAATAATAGGGGAAATTGGGGAAGAAGGTGGTAAATATGGGAATTTTCTATTATCTGCTGACTTTTTCTGTAAGTCTGATATGGTTCTAAGAAATACAATTATTACTAATTACAAAAAAAGAAGAAACTTCCAAACTCTTTAACACACACAAAAACACACATATTGAGTCCTTACATAAGTCATTCACTCCAGTGTTTGCATTTGCAATAATTTTTTCTTTAATTCTCACAATAGCCTTGTGAAGTGGGAACTATTGCTATATTTATTGGTAAGTTGAGGCTCAAAGAAATGAAGTGCTTTCCCCAAGATCATGTACCTGGCAAACTTGTTTCTAGAGGCTGGACTGAAAACCTAGGAATCTGGGTCCAGACCTGGGACTTTAGACACTTTAACACAACGCGTGAAGCCATCAGCATGGTGCTGACGTATAGTGAGGACCAGTGAGGCTCAGCTGCTGCCACCATGATTGTTGGAATTTTTATCTTATTTTCCCATGCTCTGACATGCCAGAGTACTTGCTGTCTGCACCTTATAGTCCTATGGACTTGTCCGAAACTTGTGTCGTTCTCCAACATCGTCCCCCATGGATGGCTTTTCTCTCTGGGACGTCCTCATTATGTCCAAAGGCAGCTTCTGCTACCATGTTGAACACAGTGCAGAGCTTGGCTCACTAGTGTGCTTGATGTTTAGGGCCTTGAGTCTCTCTGCAGCTTTAGCAGCAACCAAGAAATAGGTTCTAATCTCATCCCAAAGTTTCAAAGTCAACATGGTTGTCTCTGTTTAACTTTCCAGATATTGATGATCTTCAAGTATTTGGCCATGACCTTCACTTGGGAGGAGTGGGGGCAATTGGATCTGTCACAGAGAACCCTGTATTGGGAGGTAATGCTGGAGACCTGCGGACTCCTGGTCTCACTGGGTAAGGCCCATCTGCCTCTTCTGTGGGGAACCCACAGCCTCTTTCCTAATTTTACCCTCTCACTTCAATCCTGGCTGGTAGACAAGGCCTCTGAAGTCCACCCTCCCTCCCTCCCACCCATAACTCCTGCTGCATCCCTGTTCCACCTCTTCTTTCCTGGTCTCCCTGTGTCTAACCAGGCACCACAAGGGGCCAAAAATCAGGAAGCAAAATCAAGAACTAAACCAAGCCCATCCTCACTCTAATACCTAGCCCAGGCTGGCCTCAGCCTGAGGCCCTTATTCCAGATTCTCACTGGAACAAAACTGAATGGTCAAGCTATGTTGGGTTAAAGTGAAGTCACTCAGTTGTGTCCAGCTCTTTGCGACCCCATGGACTGACTATAGCCTACCAGGCTTCTCTGTCCATGGGATTTTCCAGGCAAGAGTACTGGAGTGGGTTGCCATTTCCTTCTCCAGGGGATCTTCCCGACCCAGGGATTGAACCCAGGTCTCCCTCATTGTAGGCAGATGCTTTACCGTCTGAGCCACCAAGGAAATTGGTGTTATGTTGGGTTAGGTGTCCCCATAACCCAGTAAGCAGGGGCTGGAGATGAGGGGCTGTTCCCAAAGAGTCCACAAGTCAGGCAAACCATGCCTGCACATAACACTGAGTACAGTTCCATGTGCTCTACAATAGGTCCTTGTTGGTTATCCATTTTGAATATAGCAGTAGGTACATGACTTTCCCAAACTCCCTAATTATCCCTTCCCCCTGGCAACCATAAGTTTGTTTTCTAAGGCTGTGAGTCTCTTTCTGTTTTGTAAGTAAGTTCATTTGTATCATTTCTTTTTAGATTCCACATATAAGAGATGTTATATGATATATCTGTGTGAGAAGTCTCTGATGCCTCCTCTAACTTTGGCTAATTTTCCTTTCAACACAAGGAGCAACCCCTGACTCAAAATGCCTGGCAGGACACATAAGCTTACTGGAATTTATAACATTATTCTGTTTTCATTATTATATTTTGGTGCTACCTATTCATGAAAAGTGAAACTAGCTTTGCCATTTACACATGACACAAGATTCTCCTTCTGAAGAAGTCAATTGAAATAAACAAAATATGGGTCAACTTTTAAACAAAAGCAGTTGTTAATAGTGGGCACAACTCATGGTCTCTGAGCACTCACACCCCTTGTCAGCCCCCATTCCTGATAAGACGTTCTCTACCCCACTAACTTAATTTTCACAGTACCTTTTGCTCACTCTAAACCTATTTCTCTCCCCTCCAGGAAGCTGCTGCCCAAAGACAACTGTAACAGTTTTTAGCATGAGTTATTACTTGAATATGTTTATTTATTTCAGGTATAATTATATTCAAGGAAATGTACCATCTCCAGTGTCGAACTCAATTGTATTAATATATTTTTCTGTGTACCCACTCATATGACTTCCACCTAGATCATGTTGTGGAGTACTTTTCACCCCAAAGCAGGTTTTCCCCACTGTCTCTCAGTTGGTTCCCCACCAAAGACATTACTCTTTAGGGTCATTGCTGACCTCCACACCAAGATGTTGGATTGAAACTGTTCTGGGTCATTACATAAATGGAATCACACAGGGTGCATGGCTTTGTGTCCAGGGTCTTTCACTCAACAGGCTTTTTGTGAGATTCATAGTGTAAGGATTAATTTCTGCCCTGAGACTGTTGATGCAAATGTCTTCTGGTTTATACGGAGTCCCTTTGTCTCACTTTGCACCATCACAAATCATAACTTCCGAATAGCAAAACTTTCAACATTTTCCAAATAAAACTAAAGTGGTTGGACAGTCAGGCATCAGTTGACCTATACAGTGCTTTACAGTTCTCCCTGGGTACCTAAATCACTTGGAGAGCTTTTAAGGCATTCACATCCAGGCTTCTTCCCCAAAGATTTGGTTCCATTTGGTTAATGATCAAAACCAGGCATCCCCAAGTGGTTCTGATACCCAGGGAGGTTGGAACACCGACTTAGGTTAATGAGAAAATAACTTCCAAGAAAAAGGTGTCACCTTCCTGGGGTCCCGTGGCTGTGCATAAAGGGAAGGGGCCCCTTGAATTGGTTCCTGTGGGGTGGAGATCAAGGGGAATGGGTGTTAGGTAGATAGCTATCACTACCCTCTGCAGCATTTTGGTCCAAGGATGCTGTTTGTACTCTTGGTTTCCAGGTCAGCAGTTTCTTTACGTGTGTGGGAGCAAGCGCATTCCAAGCTCTCATCCTTGAATATCATACTGAATAGAGAGGATCATTTGTAACTTTTCCCTGGAGAAGGGAATGGCAACCCATTCCAGTATTCTGGTCTGGAGAATTCCATGGACAGATTAACCTGGCAGGCTACAGTCCATGGGCTCACAAAGAGTTGGACACAACTGAGTAACTAACACTTTTGTACCTTTACTTGAACACTGCTGTCCTATTTTTCCATGATCAGGGTATCCTGTTCCCAAACCAGAAGTGATCCATCTGCTGGAGAATGAGCAAAATCTATGCTTGGTGAAGAGAGGCTTCTCCTAAAGTTCCTGTCCAGATGAGTGACCAAAGCTCAGCAGGTGAGGGCATCAATAGAGGGTCACTGGGAAGTCTCTTATTGTGACCTGCCTGGGGGCCTGGTGGCCATGGAGCCCTTTGACATGTCCTCACCCAGTTACACACTTCCTCATTACTTGAGGAGGACTAGGTTGTATTTTCATTCCAATCCCAAAGAAAGGCAATGCCAAAGAATGCTCAAACTACCGCACAATTGCACTCATCTCACATGCTAGTAAAGTAATGCTCAAAATTCTCCAAGCCAGGCTTCAACAGTACGTGAACCGTGAACTTCCATATGTTCAAACTGGATTTAGAAAAGGCAGAGGAACCAGAGATCAAACTGCCAACATCTGTTGGATCATTGAAAAAGCAAGAGAGTTCCAGAAAAACATCTATTTCTGCTTTATTGACTTGCCAACGCCTTTGACTGTGTGGGTCACCACAAACTGGAAAATTCTGAACGAGATGGGAATACCAGACCACCTGACTTGCCTCTTGAGAAATCTGTGTGCAGGTCAGGAAGCAACAGTTAGAACTGGACATGGAACAACAGAGTGGTTCCAAATCAGGAAAGGAGTACGTCAAGGCTGTATATTGTCCCCCTGCTTATTTAACTTATATGCAGAGTACATCATGAGAAATGCTGAGCTGGATGAAGCACAAGCTGGAATTAAGATTGCCAGGAAAAATATCAACAGCCTCAGATATGCAAATGACACCACGCTTAAGGCAGAAAGCAAAGAAGAGCTAAAGAGCTTCTTGATAAGAGTGTAAAAGTTGGCTTAAAGCTCAACATTCAGAAAACTAAGATCATGGCATCTTGTCCCATCACTTCATGGTAAATCGATGGGGAAACAGTGGAAACAGTGACAGACTATTTTTGGGGGCTCCAAAATCACTGCAGATGGTGACTGCAGCCATAAAATTAAAAGATGCTTACTCCTTGGAAGAAAAGTTAAGACCAACCAATTTTTAATAAGACAGCATATTAAAAATTTTGCAGAGACATTCCTTTGCCAACAAAGGTCCATATAATCAAGGCTATGGATTTTCCAGTAGTCATGTATGGATGTGAGAGTTGGACTATAAAGAAAGCTGAGTGCCAAAGAATCGATGCTTTTGAAGTGTGGTGTTGGAGAAGACTCTTGAGAGTCCCTTGGACTGCCAGGAGATCCAACCAGTCCATCCTAAAGGAAATAAGTCCTGGGTGTTCATTGGAAGTACTGATGTTGAAGCTGAAACTCCAATACTTTGGCCACCTGATGTGAAGAACTGACTCATTGGAAAAGACCCTGATGCTGTGAAAGATTGAAGGTGGGAGGAGAAGGGGACGACAGAGAATGAGATGGTTGGATAGCATCACTGATTCAATGGACATGAGTTTGAGTAAACTCTGGGAGTTTGTGATGGACAGGAAGGCCTGGTGTGCTGCAGTCCATGTGGTTGCAAAGAGTTGGACATGACTGAGCAACTTACTGAACTGAACTGAGGTTGCATTAGGTAAATGTCAGGCTATAGGTTCCATACATTTGAGATCAACACCTGGTTTTGTCTCTCTTCAGGTTTGTGACCATGGAGATATTGAATGATCTCATGGGTGTTGGAAATAAACTAATACTAGCTACTATAACAGAAACTATAACCTCAGCAGCTCAGCACAGGGAGTCTTTTTTTTTTTTTTCCTTTTCCTCATTCATGTCAGGATCTGTACAAGTTAGTGGGAAGCTCTGTATCGCAGTTATTCAAAGAATAAGATACCTTTTATTGTCAACATAAGGTTTAACTTGGGCTTTCTTGGCATTCTTTGTCCAGCAGAGGGGAAAAGAGAGAGGAATGAAAGAAATCGTACCCACTTATACACATAACATTGCCATTGCCACTGCACTGACATCTCACTGACAAAACCTGGGCATTTAACCACACCTGGATTCTCAGAGCTATGAAATGGTTTAGTTGTGTGCCCAAGGAGAAAAGAACATGGGTTTGGTGAACATCTACTTGGTCTGCTAAACTCAGTCTATGTTTAAAAAATGATAGTAATTATATTATTTCATGTTATCTCATTGGATTGTTTGAGGATCTAACTAGAAAATATGTAAACTGCATAGTATAGGACCTGACACATAGTGGCTCAAAAAATGTTAGCTATTTGTATTGATATCATGGATGTAATAACATTAATCATAATGACTAAGAGTAATATCACACATTTCCTTCAGGGCTCAGATGAAAAGAGCCTTTCTCTACCATTAATACCTCCATTTATGCTTGGTAACCACCATTACCCACATTCTTTATCAATTTATCTGTCCATATATACAGTCATTTTCTGTTTGTCAATCAGACATTCAGAAGCAATCCTTTCCCTGTGTCATTGCTCCTGTTCTGTACAACCTTTAGGTGTCTCTGGCCTTACCCACATCTGGGCTGCTGAGGCACCTAATGCCATTACTGGGTTGACTGGCATCACCTGAGCATGATGGTCTCTTGTTTCTCTGCTCATCCCTCAGGCTGCACAGCTAGCTACATGTCTCTAGCCAACCCCTCCTCAGCTCCTTGGAGTTTGTTCTGAAATTTCACCCCTCTCCCCAATTCCATGTTTCCACATGAACATCTCAGGGATACTTCATATTCATCATGGCTGGGAGGAAACTCACTATCTTCCCAGTCCTTCTACCTTCCCAGTTGTAGTGAATGACCCTGCCATCTGGAAAGTTGAGAAGGCAGAAAACACAGACAGCAGCTCAACACCTCTGTCACCATCAAGCCCAACATCTAGCCATACTGAGGCCTGTACATTGTACATCATACATATCTCCTGAATCCCTCAGTTCAGTCAGTTCCACCACTAATGCCCTGTCCATGTTGTCATCATCTCTCACCTGCATGATGCTAACAGAGTCCCACTTGATCTCTGCACATCTGATCTGTGCCTCTGGTTGGCTCTCTCTCCTGCATAAGCTTCCCCAGCCACTCAGACCTTATTCCAAATCTTCACCACATTAACAGTTGCTGATGTCTCAGTCAATAAAATTCATGTTAAAAATATAATTGCTTCCTTCTTCAACATCAGTGGTCTCACCTAGTAGAGAAATCCTGTTAATGCAATTAATATGGGAAAATCTTTCTCAAGAGGGCAGGCCCCTTGAGAACACTTCAGCATCCATGTTGGGGAGAAGCCATATGGGTGTGCCGAGTGTGAGGAGGCCTCAAACTGCAGGTCACACCTCATGGAGAACCGACATATTCATACTGGACAGAAAGGCTCTGAGGGCAGTGAATGTTGAAATTCCTTCACAGACCACTCTAATTTTATCCAGTGGGGGAAAAAAACTCTTGGAGGGCAAAGAATCCATAAAAAGGACTGTTGTGACAGCTCTTCCTTAACTTGACACATGAATTCATGCTGGAAAGAAGTCTTACAAGTGCAGTGAATATGGAAAGATCATGAACACTCCAATTCTGTCTGCATCATAGGACCCACACTGGAGGAAAGTCCTTTGGGTGAAAAGAATGTAGGAAAGCCTTTGGAGACAAGCTGTCCTCAATTAGACATGTGTGGGATCTCAGTGCAGAGAAGCATAGTGAATGTGGAAACGTTGTAAGACTTAGCTCATCCTTCATGAGCCACTGAGGGAGTCATAATGGAGAGAAACCCTATGAGTGTGAGAAATTTGGGTAGATCTTTCACACACGGGTAAACCTCAGTCTACTTCAGAGAATTCATAGTGTATTCGAAAGGGAAAGGCCCTTTGAATACAAACACTCTGGTAAATTGCTTGGTCAGTGGAATAATCTTACTCAACATTTGAGAATTCATATTGAAGAGAAACCCTATCCTCCCTCAGGTACACAGTCTCCGCGGCAGCTGTGCCTTCACCTGTAGCTGAACCCTTGCATCACAGAGGTTGGAGGCCCTCTCTTTCCCAGATCACACCTTGGTTCTCAGTAAGGGTCCTTCAGTCCACAGCAGGAAAATCTATGCTGTAACAGTTCAGTGCAGTCACTCAGTAATGTCTGACTCTTTGTGACCCCATGGACTGCAGCACGCCAGGCCTTCTTGTCCATCACAAACTCCCAGAGTTTACTCAAACTCATGTCCATTGAGTTGGGGATGCCATCCAACCATCTTATCTTCTGTCGTCCCCTTCTCCTCCCACCTTCAATCTTTCACAGCATCAGGGTCTTTTCCAATGAGTCAGTTCTTCACACAGGTGGCCAAAGTATTGGAGTTTCAGCTTCAACATCAGTCCTTCCAATGAATATTCAAGACTTATTTCCTTTAGGATGGACTGGTTGGATCTCCTGGCAGTCCAAGGGACTCTCAAGAGTCTTCTCCAACACCACACTTCAAAAGCATCGATTCTTTGGCACTCAGCTTTCTTTATAGTCCAGTTCTCACATCCATACATGACTACTGGAAAATCCATAGCCTTGACTAGATGGACCTTTGTTGGCAAAGTAATGTCTCTGCCTTTTAATAAGCTGTCTAGATTGGCCTTAACTTTTCTTCCAAGGAGCAAGTATCTTTTAATTTCATGGCTGCAGTCACCATCTGCAGTCAGTTTGGAGCCCCCAAAAATAAAGTCTGTCACTGTTTTCCACTGTTTCCCCATCGATTTACCATGAAGTGATGGGACAAGATGCATGATCTTAGTTTTCTGAATGTTGAGCTTTAAGTCAACTTTTTCACTCTCCTCTTTCACTTTCATCAAGAGGTTCTTTAGTTCTTCTTCACTTTCTGCCATAAGGGTGGTGTCATCTGCGTGTCTGAGGTTATTGATATTTCTACCAGCAATCTTGATTCCAGCTTGTGCTTCATCCAGTCCAGAATTTCTCAGATGTACTCTGCATATAAGTTAAACAAGCAGGGGGACAACATACAGCCTTGACATACTCCTTTCCCAATTTGGAACAGTCTGTTGGTCCATGTCCAGTTCTACCTGTTACTTCTTGATGTGCATACAGATTTCTCAAAAAGCAGG